GGGTCTGGGCCAGATACCCCATCCTCTCCTTGTCTGAAACCTCCCTCTGCATAACGTCTACCTGGTCTATGTCTATTTCTCCCCTGAAGTAGCTGCCAAATTGGATTTTCTGACTTCTCAGGATGAAGCACAAAATATTTGCTTAATAACCTTGTTCTGACTTAATTCAGGTTTTTATTACTTGATACTATTCTCTGGCAACTAGAGACTATTTAATTATAATTCAGAGTTGTATGCAGGCTTCCCAGAGTTTATCACCCACTGGGACTTTCTTATAAACATCTCCATCAGCACATGGCCTGACCTTGGGTTTCTGCACATACTGGTTATACTAACATATAGCACTGAGGACCTATCCCAAGATTCACAAGCAAACTCACAACACTTATTGGAAAGTTATTTTAGCATTATGGATTCAATTCATGAGGTTCACATTGAAGTGCACTATATTTTAATTTTATATTATATTATATTTTTGAGACAGGGTCTCTAAGTTGCAACATTGCATAACTTTGAACTTGTACTGTTTTTGCCTCGTCCTCCCAGGTGCTCAGGTTACAGGCATGCATCCCTGTGCCTGCCTCAGTTTACGACTTTTATTGTCTCTCCACTAAGAAGCGCTGTGATCTGGATCATATCTGAACCTGGCTTGCTGTCATTCATAAGGAATGCTCAGGACAGTCTACAATGGGTTCAATGATTCAACCTTAATATGGAACTAGGACTCTGCTGACAACTCGACTCTGCTGGGAATCAATTATGGACAGGATTCTCATACTGATTCAGGCCAAAACTACATGCTTGAGGCCTAGGATTAAACGTAAGGAAGTCCTGAACTTGGTCGAAGTTGATATATGTCTTCCAGGTTACCTCCTAGACAGGAGAAGGACTGGACCACCCCCAGGCAGGAATTCAGGCACCACCATTTCTGATCCCTGCATGGCCAGAAGGCTGAGCAGCAATGCCAGGACACAGTACAGGGTGGATGTCTGGGACCTGTATATGCACTGCCACATGAAGGAGCATCCTCCAGGTGCAGGGGGGGTCTGTAGGACCAGCCCAACTCTTTCTGACTATTTGAGCCTCAGCCCTGCTTTAGACCCCAGAAATCTCCAGCACTTGCACTGAGCTGGACTGATTTGCATAATGGGCAGCTCCTTCTTGCAAAGGATAAGAGAGGCCTGGGAGGAGGCCACTCCAGCCTTGGCCTCCGGAAGGAACATCCAGAACACCTTCACCATGGCCTGGGCCACTCTTTTCATTGGCCTCCTTGCTCACTGCACAGGTGCTGCCCCAGGACCCTCACACTCCCACCCAGCCCCGGGCTCACCCCAGCTCCAGCAGGGCTGAGTGTCTGAGGGAAGGAGCTCCCATCCTCAGTCTCACATCTGCTTCTCTCTCCCTGCAGGCTCTGTGGCCTCCTACGTGCTGACACAGCCATCCTCAGTGTCGGTGACTCCAGGTCAGACAGCCAGGATGACCTGTGAGGGAAACAACATTGGAGGTAAGAATGTGCACTGGTACCAGCAGAAATCCAGCCAGCCTCCAGTGCTGGTCATCTATAATGATAACAATCGGCCCTCCGGGATTCCTGACCGATTCTCTGGTGCCAACTCTGGCAACACGGCCACCCTGACCATCTCCAGTGCCCAGGCTGAGGACGAGGCTGACTATTACTGTCAGGTGTGGGATAGTGGCAATGCTCACGGTGACACAGACACATGGGGAAGTGAGACAAAAATGCACCACCAGCCTTCACCCAGAGCTCCTTCCTGCCCTGGCGACATAGACAGGACAGAGCCTACCACATAAAAAAAGATATTTTAGTCTGCTTGGCTCTGACAGTCAGATTCCTGAGATATGGGGGCTGCACAGGTTCCTGGACTTCCCTGGGTGCAGCTGATTCAATTGTTATCAGGACTGGATGTTTTGAACAGGTTGAAGTCCCCTTTCCCTACTCTCCCCTGGGGGTCTGGGACATGACTCAGTAGAATAAGCGCTTCCCTGGGAAGTGCAAGGGTCTGAGTTCAATCCCTGCTGCTGAAAAAAAAAAGGATGCCTTTCCCTACTCCCAGAAATTGTCAGCCCAGCACTTTCTGTGTAGGCACAAAGGGGAATAACTCTCAGCTGATACTGTGTTAGTGTCTCATCATAGGAAGATCTTTTCAAAATATTATGTTTCGGTATGTTCTACCCAAGCTTTGGAGAGAACGTAGATAGCAGTCAACACTGGCATAGTAACATGGGCTAACAGGACACAATGAGAACATTTGGAAGCACTGATTTACTTGATAACCAAATGATTTCCATGAGTGAGAACTGTGTGCTCGGTGCAACCAGTTGCTGCATGGAGAGTTGTTCTTCACAAAAGCTTGGAAGAAAAGGAATGTGGCATAAGCTGTGGACACCGTCATCCTCCAGGACATTAGTGTTGGTGATCTAACAGTGAAGGTGACATACGTGGATGCATTCCTCAGCACAAAAACTGCTGACTAATGGATGACAGTGACAACAGGAGAAGGAATGGAGAGAGAGAGAGAGAGAGAGAGGGAGGGAGAGAGACAGAAAGAGAGGGAGGGAGGGAGGGAGAGAGAGATTTACAGGAGGAAACATCCACATCTCCAATCTGCTGTCTGGGAGGTGCTGGGTCAGCTCAGCCATAGAAGACCCAGTTACCCAGGTATAACCTGACATATAAGAGTCCCCTGAAATGATCACTTAGGTGGGGTATACATGGGACAACTGCCTCCCCCCAAACATAAGTCATCCCATGCAGGACTAAGGCCAACAAAGAGGTAGGCCTGGTCCCCACTTCCCTATTCCAGCAGCAGCCCTGGGATTCTCTGCATCTTCAAGGTCCCTATTGCTGCCAGACTGCTCCACTCCTCCTTGACCTCCATGATGTCCACTCCCTGTGCCCCTACCCCAAAGCCTGCCCTCTGTAT